CATTTTAAAACATAGATTGCACACCGAATCATGAAATGTTAAAGAATGACTCCCATTTGGATCTAAATTTTCCTCATGCTTGTTCAATCACCAGGTCTAAATGTTATGGCTATTTATAGTTACACCCTAGGGTAGAAGGGGGAGGGAATTAGATGTCATAAAGAATCATACATAATGCATAAAGACTTAAACTACATTTTATGAGAACTGAAAAATTTAAGAAACTCTGGCTGAAATATGGAAATGTCGTGCCAAGCAGAACTTCCTCTTACACAGTAACATTAGTAAAGATTTAACAGACATAAATACAGTAAACCCTCAAACCATCGTGGTGTCATCTGCATTTCTGCTAACATATAATTTATTTTAATGAATAATTTGAATAAATACACTGAGGCTGATTTTGAAGGTCACTGGAAAAAAAGACATCATCATAGTTGCCAATGCATTCAATATCAGCTATGTGGGGAATCAAAGTCACGAAGTAAACAGATGCATGGTAAAATACTCTTACCTACCAATAAATGGTTTTATAATTGACTTTTAAATGGTACTTTCTACTTCAACCAATTTCTGAAAAATTAGCCTGATTATAAAGAGTCCCAATTCACTTTAACAACACAAAACAGAAGAGAATCCTGTAACTGCTCCCACATGGCAGCAATTGTCCACAATACTGTAGGTACGTCAAGGTCAGGGACTCTATGTAATCTCTGTAATTCCCCAGGGTCAAATGCAGTGTCTGTAACATGAAGAACACAAAATAAGTTCTGGCCAAATGAATGTATGACTGAATAAATGCAGGAATGGTGGATAAATGAATGAATTAAAGAATGAGTATATAGACTGACAAAAACAATTAATTAAATTATTTGATTTTCAAGGGGAGCTCTAAGCTTTATCATCTCAGTACCCTGAGAAGCTCTGGGGATTCCTTGCTGATGTCTTAGTTCTTCCTGCCCCTTTTATCTCCACCTCTGCCCATTTCTTCTACCCCATATATACATTTCTCATCCAATTTCAGCAATTCTAATTTTAAAAGTTTAAAAATATGGTAATATCTTGAAAGAACAGTTCAAACAGTTCAAGTAACAGTTTGATGCACCTGAAAATTTCAAGAAATACTTCTAGTATACAAATGAAGTGCATGTGTTTTCTATTTGTTCACCTTTTCTAAAAGGATGCATTAATCTTATGTCACATTTGCTACACAGAATGTGGTTTTCATTTTCATTTCTTTGGTTTTAATTAACAATTATATATACTGTCTCACAGTTGAAAAAATAGTTTTGTCTTTTAGCCTACATTTTCTGAATTATTCTAAAGGCATCTCTTAAAATTTACCAGCAATTCCTAACTAAAACTAATCTTACAGCTCTTCCCTAGACTACCATTGATTTTCAGGAATTTACTAAACAAAATTGTCTTTCATTAAGACAGCCTACTCCTTCTATTCCATCAATATTCACAGGTTGTCTACTGGTGTCTTGCATGACACTAGGAATATAACTGCTCTCAGAGAGCAAGTGATATTCATTGACTTTCTGAATCCTGGAGAACTTCTATAAATATCATTTTGGAATCAAGTATATGCAGTATATAGAAACCAAGTTCTTCAAATATATTTTAAAACTGCAAAACTCCCCAAAGTTTCATTTTTGCTTCACTTATAGCATAAGTCACAATATATTGCCAGTTTGATCAGGTGTAACCAAATCAAGTACTAGAGGAAAAGCACACTAACAAATTATACATCTTTTCCCAAGTAGAGTCTGAAACCCATGAATATAAACATAAATTTATGCATTTCAAAGAGAACTGTATACTTTAAAAAGCCTACCCCTTATCCCTGTGCCTTATTTTGGAACAAATACATCGTTTTATTTCTTTCAAAACTTTGACTATCGCCAATAATTACATTGAGGAACACAGTTCCAATGTGTCTGATTCTATGTAATACTGACAAGTAGTCTCCAAAGGTGGTGCACATTCCTCAAGATGTGTCCAAAAGCATTATGTTATTAGGGGGCAAGTAAGCCAATATTATAATTCAATGTGTGTTTCTGTTTATCAAAACAACTAAACTTCACAAACCACTAAGATACTGATACTCAGCCCACATGATAAAAGAACAGTACTGCCAGGCCGGGTGTGGCGGCTCACGCCTGTAATCCCAAAACTTTGGGAGTCCAAGGTGGGCGGATCATGAGGTCAAGAGATCGAGAGCATCCTGGCCAACATGGTGAAATCCCAACTCCACTAAAAAATACAAAAATTAGCTGGGTGTGGTGGCACATGCCTGTGGTCCCAGCTACTCCGGAGGCTGAGGTGGAAGAATCGCTTGAACCCAGGAGGCGGAGGTTGCAGTGAGCCAAGATTGCGCCACTGCACTCCAGCCTGGCGACAGAGCAACACTCAGTCTCAAAAGAAAAAAGAACAGGACTGCCATGTAGTGGTAGAGTGTATTAGTTTGTTTTCACTCTGCTGATAAAGGCATACC